TATATATATATATATATATATATATATATATATATATATATATATATATATATATATATACTGTATATATATATAGCTAATTCAATAAAGGTTGTCCTTTGCAAACCTTAAACTTTAAAACCTTAAACCTTAAACTCTAAGCGCGCAAAGCATGATGGGAGCACTGATTCAAGCTTAGTAGTTGATTATTGCAGCTGTTTGTCAATGAAATGTTTTTGCAGGGAGATATTTATCATGTCTCCAAGAAATGGGTTCCATATATGCTTTGTAAACTGCTGAAATCGTGCTCCCATTATGCTTTGCGCGCTTAGAGTTTAAGGTTTTAGAATTTAAGGTTTCAAAGGACAACGTTTATATATATATATATATATATATATATATATATATATATATATATATATATATATATATATATATATATATATAAAAAAAAAAAAATATATATATATATATATATATATATATATATATATATATATATATATATATATATATATATATATATATATATATACTACACATTATGCCTAAGCCTTTATGCGCACGCTCACTGCATTTCACAGTTTAAAAACGGCGATAAGGCACATAAGTAAAGACATTGTAGCGCCCTTCAAGGAAAGCTCAAACAACGGCAACTGTGGACAGCTGTTTCGCCCTTTTTGGGGCTCATCAGCACAGTGCACCGATGATGAGCTTCCACATACCAAGAATATATATACTCAGTGGCGGCGCCAGGCTTCCAAATTTGGGGGGGCATTTGAGGGGCAAACTCAAATTTTGGGGGGAAAAGATAGAATTTTTAAAAAGGTCGCCCCCCAGGAAATTCGCCCCCCCCCTCAAAACGTGGCGATATTCCTAGGAATATCGCCTCCCAGGGGAATATCGCCTCCCAGGGGGGTGGGGCAAATACCCTAGGAATATCGCCCCTCTTTAGGACATTCGCCCCCCATATATGCGATGTGGTTTATTCAAATAATTTCGTGATACTTTCATCTTATTATTGCCTTACACGTTTGAGAATTTAACTCTGCAAAACTAAAGCTTTTTTGTCTTTTTTTTGAAACGTATTATTGGAGTATTGGCAAGTTTTACCATTCAGAGATTTACAAACTAATATTGAAACTGTAAAAAACAGTTTCATGTATACGCGCATTCACCAATGAGTAATGACAACTTATAAGCCATACATTTTCCGATAACGACAGAACGCTTGTGTAGCCTTTAGTCGCTCTTAGTGACTAATAATTTTTTTTGAGGGGGGGGCAAAATGGGGGGGGGCAAAAAATAATTTTGGGGGGGCATTTGCCCCCCCTTGCCCCCCCCCCTGGCGCCGTCACTGTATATACTATAGAAGACAGTGTAGTGTGGTGGATGTGGGACACTACATAACTTTATATACTACACATTATGCCTAAGCCTTTATGCGCACGCTCACTGCATTTCACAGTTTAAAAACGGTGATAAAGCACATAAGTAAAGACATTGTAGCAAAAAAAACGGTGATAAAGCACATAAGTAAAGACATATATATATATATATATGTTAGTTGTGTAATTGTACACACTGTAATATGTTAAGATGAAAATGTTCTAGAGTGTGTATTATATAATTTCCATACCCAGCGCAAGCAGAAAGATGTTGTCTGCCGCGGCTGGGTCTTGAACCCGCGACCTCAAGACCCAGCCGCGGCAGACAACATCTTTCTGCTTGCGCTGGGTATGGAAATTATATAATACACACTCTAGAACATTTTCATCTTAATATATATATATATATATATATATATATATATATATATATATATATATATATATATATATATATATATATATATATATATATATATATATATATATATATATATATATATATATATATAGATATATATATATTATAGCTTTACACAGAACATACTTATATACAATAAATTATGAATAAATTACTATTGTTGGGCGAAATCATGACTACCATTAAGGCCTTTCCGGTTGGTCAACAACATTCCTATCCAAAAGTTTTCACTCTTAAGTACTTCACTATGGTGTTGGTCAATAAGCATAAATTTTAAGCTCGAATGATCCGCCTCATGCACATCAATAAAATGATTTGTTATACTACATGTCCGGCGCTTATGCTTAATGTGTGATTTGTAGTTAGCTAGTCTGGACTTAAAATTGGCCGTAGAGCCAACACCTTGCAAACCACAAAGCACACACTCAGCAAGATACACTACATTACTGGAAGTGCACGTCAAAGATTTTAAAATGAGAAATATCCTTCCAGTGGCAGCTGCACGAAAGGAATTGCCAAAAATCAAAAAGTTCTTACAACTATCACACCATAGTGAAGTATTTAAGAGTGAAACAACCAACACCATAGTGAAGTACTTAAGAGTGAAAACTTTTGGATAGGAATGTTGTTGACCAACCGGAAAGGCCTTAATGGAAGTCATGATTTCGCCCAACAATAGTAATTTATTCATAATTTATTGTATATAAGCAGGGACGCCGGAACGATCATAAGGCAAAGGGGGGCGGACCCACAGCAAGGGCACTTGTCTAAAGCGAAACTTCGAAATCTTCCGATTTTTTTTATCCAAAAAGTTTGGCGACCTCCCCACCCCCCCCCCAAAAAAAAAATTTTCCGGACATACCATAAGTGAAATATAACTCTAAATTGTCTGAATCTCATATTTTTCGGACAAAAACCTTCCTTCTAAATGTCATTTATCACGTATTTTTTTTATAACCAAAAGGGCACTTCTGCCCCCCCTGCCGCCCCTAGCAAAAGGCAGGGGGGGGCAGCCGCCCCCCCTGCCCCCCAGTTCCGGCGTCCCTGTATATAAGTATGTTCTGTGTAAAGCTATAGGCACTCTGAAGAAGGCTGTGGCATGCAGCCGAAATTTAGTTTTTGTATTTAATATACCTTTTTTTTTTTTTTTAATAAACTTCTTCAAACGTAGCCGTTCTGTTTGTTACATATGAAGTCTTGTCGGCTGAGCAGAGTACTGGCATTTGTCACATATAAATATATATATAAATGTTGTGGTTTCCCACGTTGACGATTCCACTCGTGTTACATTATGTAGCGGTTTTTGAGTTGTTTTCAGACGAGTGTATACCAAACCGGGCAAGCAGAAAATTCTACTTGACCGCGGCTGGGATTCGAACCCGCGACCTTCCATTTCTCCGAAATGCGACTAACATCATAACTTAAACACGTCGTTCTCAGCTTGACCTTATAGCTCGGACGGTAGAGCATCGTTCTAGCAATGCGAAGGTCGCGGGTTCGAATCCCAGCCGCGGTCAAGTAGAATTTTCTGCTTGCCCGGTTTGGTATACACTCATCTGCATGAAAACAACTCAAAAACCGCTATATATATATAAATATATATATATATATATATATATATATATATATATATATATATATATATATATATATATATATATATATATATATATATATATATATATATATATATATTATTAACATTGTGGCGATTTATGGGCCTTTGAAAGTCAAACACGATCGTATACTATCAAATTACGCAATTGTCTGAACAAAAATATAGGCTAGCCATACATATAAGACAGCCGTCTTTATAATAGTCTTGTTCGAATCCAATTAAGAGTGTTATTTGCAAGCCTGTCTCTTCAAATTTTCATCTTTTATCACAGTATTTCCATTTCTTTTCCGACTGTGAGCTCGAAGTCTCAACCGGAAATACGGCTAAAACCCGTCAAAACAAGGCGACGTTTGTATCGCGTAATTCTGCCAATGCCAGAAATTGCACCTACACGCGCGAGTTTGACGTCATCCCGGTCATAGGAGTTGCATTTATTAAAAAAAAAGGTATTTTTCTTCACCCGAACAATATTTTGATTTACGGAATTTCGTATTTTCTTAAAAATATGGCAATCTAAAAGATTGTTAGATCAAATTGCCTTGATTTTAAGAATATCTCTTTTGTGCATTTCACCTTTCGAGTGAAATGAAATCGAAGGCGCTTTAGAGGCCTTGACACACTTTGTGCGTAGAGTAGCCAGTGAGCTCCATATATATCTGGAGTAGGAACTTGGTTGCTCAAAGTGAAGCCAGTTTCGTGTTAACCGCGCATACAAAAACAATAGAAAGGGACTGGAAATGACGTCCAAGAGCTCCTTCAATTTCCGCCATCTTGGCAAGGAGTGTGTTGAAATTTCGTATTTTGACTTGGATTTAAAGAATAATATTGTGATTTTATGAACTGAAAATTTGATTAGTGATACGGTCCATTAGAAAAAACTGGAATTAGCTTGGGAAAATGGTATAAAAACTGTTTACGACCTTCAGAGCTATTGGACGTCAATGGCCGCCATCTTGGATTTTTTTGGCTTCACTTGGCCTATTGCCAAAACATTAGAAGTTCCTACTCCAGATATATATATAGAGCTCACTGAGAGTAGCATGCTTTTCAATAACAAAATGGACCTTTCCCGGCCCTTATAACTAAAATTTCGATCTAGACAAAAATTTCATAACAAAATTAGAAATATTCCAAAGTTTTGTTGCAAAATCTTGTAAAATGCGGATAATATAGCCTTGCGAAGTTTGCCGTTTTTCAGTCATTTTGTATTACAAACGGGAAATTGACATCCGATTCGGGTGTTGGGGCTGCAATTTCCCGTTTGTAATGCAAAATGACTGAAAACTGCAAATTTCGCAAGGCTCTAGTTTCCTCATTTTACAAGATTTCGCAACAAAACTTTGGAATGTTACTAATTTTGTGATGCTCTTTCAAGCTGTGATGAATATATTTGTCTATAGACTTGCCTATTCAAAATTTTGGTTATAAGGGGAAAGGTCTATTGAATGTGTTTTTCCAAGTGTGGCACATATCATTAGGATTCTTAAATTGATGGATAAAGTCCCAGTTTTGCTGACTAATATCATTGCGAAATTTAGCAGAATCGAAGTGTTTAATCAACCCATCACAGAACATCATAATCAACCAATCACAGAACATCATAATCAATCAATCACATGCAGAACATCTTCCTGGAGCTTCGTGCAGACGCAAAATATGGCTGTTTGCAAAGAGTAAAGGAGGCAACAATTTAAAAAAACATGCAAGAATTAAAGCTTGGAAAATCGTTTTACTATCAAATTGTAAAACTTTTTTTCATTTTTTAAACGTAAACAATAAGAATTGATTTAGTATGAGAAATCCTAAAGTATAAGGCAAGTTTGTTTCAACGGTTTATGTATGACTTAGTATTATTATAGACTTTGTTTTATTTGTTGTTCAAATCTTTCCTTTGCATTGTATGCGAAAGTTTGTTTGTTAAATTAACTTTTGTACTATATATAGGTGTTCCTGATGAAAAGGGAAACAAATTATTTCCATTGGCGTCCTGATAAATTAAATTTATTTCATTTCCAAGTGCGAGTAATACGTTGAAGCTCAAGTTGATGAGTTTATCGGCGAAAAATCAGTTAATTTCAATTCACATATAAAAACCTTTTACGAGAAGTTTCGTGTTGAAGTTTACAATAAACTATAAAGCCTGTAGCTTTCTACGTATTTTCACAAACACTATAACAAATCAATACTCGCGCTAAATTGGAGACCCCGTCGTCGACGAGAATGACTTTTCTACGCACCAATGGATAGTCAACAGTCACATGCTTCGTCTTCAACAGTTTCAACCTCCGATGTACAACCTACAGCATCACCGGTGACCTCCATCAGCATCAAACTTCCACCGTACTGGCCAAGCGATCCAGCACTTTGGTTTTCCCAAGTCGAAGCCCAATTCACAACCAGAACGCACAAAATACGCGTATGTTGTTGGTTCACTTCAACCCGGAGTCCGAGACTTTCTCATCAACCATCCTGCAGAAGAACCCTACACCAAACTGAAAACCGAACTTGTCAAACGCATCTCCGCGTCTCAGCAAAAACGATTAAACCAATTGCTGCACGCCGAAGAGTTAGGAGATCGAAAGCCAACTCAACTCTACCGTCGTATGCAACAGTCCCTCGGTGATATCCAACTCGAGCCCTCCATAATGAAATAGTTGTTCCTCCAACGTCTCCCAAGCAATGCTCAACTGATTTTGGCCTCGACCGCAAACGAAATGGACACGGCGAGTTTGGCCAAGATGGCTGACAAGATCGTTGAGGTCGCTCCCGTGCATTCTACCCTTTCCACCGTTGTTCCCCAATCAGCACCACCACCCACAGCACAGTCCACTGAAATGCGTGAACTTCGAGACCTTGTTGCTCAGCTGACCCCCACCATCAACAACTTCAGCCTCCACACTTCACCGCAACATGCTCGTACTGAAAGACGTCGCAGTCGGTCCTCTACACGCCGCTCGTCCTCTCCATTCCACGACCGTGAGGGCACCACTAACGAGCCAAGCCCCCGCTCCATCTTTTGTTGGTACCACACCAAGTTCGGTGCCTCGGCTAAGAAGTGCTCGCCACCTTGTTCTTTTTCTCAGCAAACATCATCACCGTCAAACTATCACGCCAGACAATAGACGCGGCAGAGTCGTCTGGCGTTTCTCACCAAAGCCGCCTGTTTTACATTACGGACGTTTCAACAAAGGACGTTTCCGCCAGCCTCCATGGTAAAACCATCTTCTCCAAGATGACCTCGTTCGAGCTTATCACCAAATCCCTATGGCTGAAGACGACATTTGTAAGATCGCAATTACTACCCCTTTTGGTTTGTTTGAATTTACCAAGATGCCCTTTGGTCTTCGCAACGCAGCCCAAACCTTCCAACGTTTTATGGACGAAGTTACTCGTGGCCTCGATTTCGTTTATGTCTATATCGATGACATCTCATTGCTAGAACGAACGCCATCGAACACGAAGTCCATCTACGATTACTTTTCGACCGTTTTCGACAGTATGGTGTGATTATCAACCCCGCTAAATCCGTATTTGGTGTTTCATCTCTCGAGTTCCTTGGACACAAAGTTACTGCACACGGTATCCAACCCCTTGACTCGAAAGTCAAAGCCATCCGTGATTTTCCCCTTCTTAGGGACCGGTCATTATTTATGGTGGGGGGTGGCACCGAAGAGAAAAGATTTTCGTGGCAAAAATTTTGCTGACCCAACCATTAAAAAGTAAAAAAAAAATGATTACCCAACCTTAAATATCAATTAAAAAATAAATACCCACCCCTGGCCAAAAACTTTACAAAAAGATATCATTCAGTTGTCACACGTGTCCTTTACCACTTCTGTGACACGAGTTTGATAACGGATTGGGAAACTTTCTGCAGTCTAAAGTTTCATGTTGTCTGCACATGTACTTTCTTTGGAGACATGCATCAAGATAGTGACTCTGATTGATTCACATATTGTATTGACATATAACTGTTGACTTGCTTTTTAGTCTCCAATATTTTAGTGTGTCATGCTTTGGAAATGACAATAAATTTTTATTACCCAACCCTTGAGTTGTTTTGTTTTTCATTAACCCAACCTTTTACTCACTCAAAATTTTGTTTACCCAACCCTTTTCTCTTCGGTGCCACCCCCCGCCATAAATAATGACCGCTCCCTTACGTCGCTCACCAAACTTCGAGAATTCCTTGGCCTTGAGAACTTCTACCTTCGGTTCATCCCCAAATGTTCTCACATCCTTCAGCCTCTCACTGACATGCTCGCTTCAGCAAGCTCCACCAAAAAGACAAATAACACCCCACTCCAATGATCCAAACAAGCTACCTCTGCTTTTCAGAAGATCAAAAAAGGCCCTTGCTGATTTCACTCTACTTTCACACCCAAAATCCGATGCTGAGCTGTGCCTCATGACTGATGCCTCCGATGTTGCAGTTGGTGGCGTTCTACAACAACGAGTCAACAACGTTTGGCAACCACTCGGTTTCTTTACCAAACTCCTTCAACCAGCAGAAACCCGGTACAGCACCTTCGGACGTGAACTCCTCGCAGTGTACCTTTCTATCCGTCACTTTCGCCACCACCTTGAAGCACGCCAGTTCTCTGTTTTGACCGACCACAAACCATTGACCTATGCCTTACACAATTCCCTCAACCGTCATTCATCTCGAGAAATTTGCCACTTGGACTTCATTTCCCGATTTACAACCGATCTCCGTCATGTTAGTGGGAACGCCAACCTAGTGGACCTTTCCCCTTATAACTAAAATTTTGATCTAGACATAAATTTCATCACAGCTTAAAAGAGCATCACAAAATTAGTAATACTCCAAAGTTTCGTTGCGAAATGTTGTAAAATGCGGATAATATAGCTCGCGAAATTTGCAATTTTCAGTCATTTTCTATTACAAACGGGAAATTGATGCCCCAACACCCGATTGGGCTGTCAATTTCCCATGCGCAATACAAAATGACTGAAAAGGCTATATTATTCGCATTTTACAATATTTCGCAACGAAACTTTGGAATATTACTAATTTTGTGATGCTCATTCAAGCTGCGATGAAATTTTTGTCTAGACTTGTCTAGGTCAAAATTTTAGTTATAAGGGAAACGTCCGTTGCCGATGCCTTGTCACGTATCGCCACCTTAACTCCTTCGTCAACTATCGATTTTGACGCCATGGCCTGTGCTCAACACCACGACGAAGAACTCAACAAGATTCGAACTGATTCTTCGTCCTCCACAATGGAATTGCGAGATCACCTTATACCCACCTCCAAGAACCATATTACCTGCGACATCTCCACCGGTAAACCTCGACCTTTAATTTGTTCCCAAGGCCTTTCGCCGCAACATTTTCGACTCCCTCCACAACCTTTCCCACCCAGGCATCAAGGCAACACAACGCCTGATCACTGAACAATATGCTTGGCCCAGCATCAACCGTGATGTACGACAGTGGACTAGATCATGTCTACAATGTCAACGCTGCAAAGTTAAACGTCACACCTGTGCACCCCTGTTAAACTTTGAGATTCCCACCACCAGATTTTCCCATGTTCACATCGATCTCGTTGGTCCTTTACCCCCTTCAGATAGCAATTCCTACCTCTTGACCTGCATTGATCGTTTCACTCGCTGGCCTGAGGCAATTCCCATTTCCACCATCACAGCAGAATCCGTGGCCCAAGCCTTCATAACTCATTGGACCGCCCGATTTGGCGTTCCACACACGATTACTACCGATTGTGGAAAGCAGTTCAAAAGTCATCTCTTTGCTGCCCTAACCAACTACCTTGGCACTACCCGTGTTCGAACTACCGCCTACCACCCCATTGCTAATGGTCTCGCTGATTTTGGGCACAGCGTTTATATATATATATATATATATATATATATATATATATATATATATATATATATATATATATATATATATATATATATATATATATATATATTTGACTGTGTTTGAGGAAACATGTCTGGTATAATATTCTTGTGGTTTTGTTGAACTTTTCTTCAGACATACAAAGTAAAAACTTTTATTCGTAAAATAAAGTTTTAAAATCCCAAACGTTTCGCCGATCAAGGCTTCTTCGGTGGGAAACTAGTTAAAAGTCATATAATGTCCCTATATATATGCAAGTCCGTCAATACTCAATAGCCAAAATTACAATATATAAAACTAATTAGAGATAAAACGACTGTCTTGATTACATGTACAGGATTAAAAAAATTAAAATTAATTATATATACAAGATTTAAGAAAATTAAAATACTAATTGTATAAAAGTGTTCTCCCAGTACAGCCATTCATAATTTTGTCAGCATTATTTCGTATCTCGACTGCTTCAATGTACCTTCGCTCCTCTTGGTTGCGGATATATGTGTGTGTAAAAGTTTCTAACTTATTTTAGCGTCCTCAGGTCTCTGATTGTGGGAAATTATGTGTCTGTATACGGTCTGCTTATACATTGATAAGTGTTCTTTAATTCTTTGGCCTATTGTTCTTCCTGTCTCGCCGATGTATATAATATCGCAATATAATATATATATATATATATATATATATATATATATATATATATGCACTGACGAGGCGTTGAACGCCGAAACATGCATGTCTGCAGATTGTACTATTACGCTCCTTCACTTCGGTGTTGTTGAGCACTCTGCGGAGTTGTTAATGGGTGTCTACTTAGCGATAATGCAAAGCTCACTTCCCTTGTGGTCGTTTGAGCACTCTGGCCCCATTACGCTCTGCGCATGTCTGGATGCGTTGAGCGCCGTGTTGTACCACATGCCTTGGTGAGAGCAAGTTCATGGGGTATAAATACGAGTGTCTCACGTATCTAGACGTGTACCAAGCTGCACAGACGAGGCGTTGAACGCCGAAACATGCATGTCTGCAGATTGTACTATATATATATATATATATATATATATATATATATATTATTTGGTTAGTTGGATGGTTGAGGACATAGGTGGACAAATCGATAATCGTCAGTATGGCAACCTGAAGGGAACATCTACCACCCTTTGCCTTCTAGATCTTATCCACAACTGGCTTTCTAAAATGGACAACCCAGGTCATTACCTTAGAGCTTGCTTTCTGGACTTTAGCAAAGCTTTCGATAGAATAGACCACAATATTGTTATAACAAAATTGATCGATTTGGGAGTGCGCCGTTCAATAATCCCTTGGATTTGTAGCTTCCTTTCAAATCGCCGCCAGTGTGTTAAGCTGGGACGGTGCGTGTCCCGATGGCTTTCAACTAATGCTGGGGTCCCACAGGGTACCAAATTGGGTCCAATCCTTTTTGTCATAATGATTAATGATTTGAAAATAGTATCCCCGCGTTCCAGTAATTGGAAGTACGTAGACGACGTGACGATATCTGAGATTGTTCCAACAAGGGAGGTATCTATACTACAAAACGAATTGGACGCAATTGGTAATTGGACAAGTACCAATAATATGAAATTGAACCCCAAAAAGGGTAAAGAGATGATTGTCTCCTTTCGACGAGATATTGAGCAGCCACCACCCACCTTAGTTGTTGAAACCATTAGTCTTGAAAGAATAGAATCCCACAAAGTATTAGGTTTAACGATCCAGAATAATCTGAAGTGGGATTTGCATATCAGTGAGATAGTAACCAAAGCATCAAAAAGACTACACATCTTTTGAGTTCTCAAGCGCAGTGGAGTTTCACCGTTTCATTTACTACGAGTACATTTTGCACTTATTAGATCCCTGCTTGAGTACTGCTGTCCGGTATGGCATTCATCATTGACCATTAACTTGTCAGATAAAATTGAACGGGTCCAGAAGCGCACAATGCGAATAATCTACCCCACATTAAGCTATGACGCTGCTCTGGACCAAGCTAAATGTTCGACATTACGTGCAAGACGTGATGGTTTGTGCATAAAAACTTTTGACAAAATCAGACAGCCTGATTCACGCCTTAACCATTTAATACCACCTTCTCGGGCCAATGGACACAATTGTAATTTAAGGTACGGAAATAGATTAACACTGTTTCCTTGTAAGACGGAGCGCTTTAAGAAAAGCTTTTTTCCTACTATGTGTATTCAATCACATAATTTATAAATTTTGTAAATTTTGTATATTTAAAAGTTCTTTCGATATTAATTCATAGATCAGTAAACTATTGTTGTAATATAATGCCAGTAACACAAGGTACTTTTTAATACTTTTAACTAAAGTTTGTAAATAATTTCGCAATTCGCTTTCATCGAGCGCGACGATTTTTATAATAAACCATTAATAATAATATATATATATATATATATATATATATATATATATATATATATATATATATATATATATATATATATATATATATATATATATATATATATATATATATATATATATATATATATATATGGCCTTTGTGTCATATTGAGCACTCTACAGGATG